GCAGTCTGCATACAAATATGTCAGATATGTAAAACGGATGCACTCGCAACACTCAGGTCCTGGAACAGGACTGCAGTCCAGAAGTGGATGAACACTCAGAACTCACGCCAGAGTTAACAGCTGATGAACGTGGAGAAAAAGAAGAAAATAACCCAAGACAATTTAGCAAGCGTGCTTGTCCAACAGGTCCTGTGTAAGTGTGTAAGGAGCCTGGACGCGCACTCGTCAGTGTGACAAACCAACGGAATATTTCAGTCCGGCAAGAGTTAATTGCACCTTGTGGTTAAAAGAATTGCGCACTTAAAATAAACATAGTTGAATATAGATGCGAGAAGAGTAGAAAATGTACGAAGGCGCACATAACTTATGACGTTTTCCTAGTGTTACTAGGAGAAACCCTTAGAGCTAGTCATCCGCACTACACCAAACGACAGCCCCAGCCTTTCCATCGGCCTAAAACCAAAAGAAATAATAATAATAATAAAATCATACGAATTCAGGGGAGATTTATAATGGTAGGGAGTAGCTGAGAGCCCATGTAAGCCTTAGCTGTATCCCGAAATATTTTATCGAGATCCTACCAATCTATATTCTACCATTGTATAAATATTCCATGACTTCATCAACCTTGATACTTGTCCGTTGGACAATGGTAACTATTTACCAGTCCCCACATATTATGACGTTCTTTTGGTTACTATTCACAGTTAGGACTATGTATTGGCGAACCCTCCTTTCCTCTGTTATCTTTTCTGAAAATATTCATTTGGTTTCCTTACGTAAAGATCTTACAGTATAAACCATCATCCTGTGCCATGTGGTATCATCAGTTGGGTATACATTACATTGCTTATGTTTATTATATTATGCAACATAAAATTTGAGTAAAAGTCGTCAGCTGTGTGGGCATATAGGGTTGACCTACGTTTTATAGACCGAGTGGTACCTGGGCGTTGATGTGGTCAACATCACACCTGCTGCCTTTACTCCCCATTACTATACCTGGTGTCCATTCAAGGCGAAGTCGACCTAGGTCTGTTGGGACTTGAACTAACGACTGTCCAATCCGCATGCGAATGTGTATCCACTTAATCATGTCAAGTTTTATATGATCGTGCAAGAATTGTATAGGTATAAAACAATATGTTATAACAGGGTGGGGAGATTTATTCTTGATATATTGCTCGTGGAGAAAGACAGAGTTTGAACCTTGCTCTTTCCCTTACTAATCTGATAACACCACAAACACTGCAACACTTCCACCTGCCCAGATGTGTCGGCATAATCCTCACCACAGGGCTGATTGATGTATTTTCTCAGGTTCCCTGTAACCCCGTGGATCGTGAACAACACAGTATAAATGGAAAACCGAAATTAATTGTCGCAGATAGCCAATCACTACAATTGTTGCCGCCAGAACATTGTCCATACCTCAAAGGAAGGATGCATTTCGACACATCAATACTATCATAGAGCTGAGTGACGTTTGATGTGTTTTTTTTTTTTTTTTTTTTTTGAGGTTGATTTGTGGTATAGGATGAACCTTGATTTGTTTTCTCTTTGTTTTAAGTTGAATAATTTTTGGGATTCCTAGACCGTGTTAAATCAATACAATTGTTGATTTAGAAAACTAAAGTATTGAATTTATATCATTTAGTATCAATTTTAATTCCTTGTGTAGGCGAAGTATTGTACGTTGTGATTTATTTGAGTTCAATTTGCAAGGTGTTGAACTTTGTTTTCTGAAGTTAGTTAGAATAATATTTATGTATTCAGTTCTATACCGAGCATTCACCCTATTAGTTTGTTTATCTGTATTTCTATTCCTTTATTTATGAACTCAGGGACCATTAGAATTCCCCTAGACTTTCTTAATTCGAGCCCTGTAAATTATTAGGAAGGATTATAGGGGATCTCCAGGCGAGAAAAAATTCCGCCAAACTAGTTAACTAGTAAACAAACCCCTTGATTTATCATAAATTGACGAAATGTTTATGGGAGAACATTCTCGTCTTCGTTGATAATTTGTGCGTGGAAAGCAGTCATGAATTGTGGGGTTTGTATTTTAAAATACCACATTATCCTGTAACATTAAAATATCTACTCTCTCTCTCTCTCTCTCTCTCTCTCTCTCTCTCTCTCTCTCTCTCTCTCTCTCTCTCTCTGACTCAGTAAGCATACTGAGGAAGATCAGGTCAGGCATGTTTCGTGCAGAGGAAGTATTGTCTGGATTTTTTCGCAAGGACGCCGGTGTGTTTGGAAATGAAACAGGCAGACAGACTGGCTGGCTCTGCACAACTTGGTGGAATACTGCTACATAAGGCAGACGTGGTTAGTGCCTTGTGGGAGAGCGTGTACAGTTAGGAGGAGCAGATGGTTCACCACAGTCTGGTGAGATTGATGCAGGGGGGAGTGACGAGAGGTTCTGGCAGATGCTCGGGGCTCAGAGGAAAGTCAAGACGGACATTCAATAAGAATGCTACTGGCACTATTAGTATCGGCACTCTTTGCTGGCTGCTGGAGATAAGGACGGAGCGCTTATGGGAATGCCCCGAGTGCTGTGATGTCGCTTCTTGAATCGAATCAAATCAAATCAAAACTCTCTCTCTCTCTCTCTCTCTCTCTCTCTCTCTCTCTCTCTCTCTCTCTCTCTCTCTCTCTTTCTTTCTCTTTCATTCTCTGTCCCCATTTCTCTTTTGCTGCACTTACAGAAGTAAAATATTTGAGGTAAAGAATCTATTTCGGCACATCAGGCAATCAATGCAGGTCAACCTGAAGTCGATGGTTCATGTGGTTAACAGCATGCCGGCCATCTTTACCCGCATACATTTTGTGTATACATATTTATGTTGGGTGAACTTGGGATGTATTTAAGAAAAAACTCTCATGCAGGTTCGAATTCCAGACCTTTGGGCCGGCAGACAGACGGATAACCTGTGCAGTGCCATGCAACAAGTATTGTTGCAGTTGTATCAGATCAATGTTGTTTTCCGTATAGACATGTTTGGGTGCAATGATAAAGTAAGGTGAAAATGTGCTATAGTGGTAGTGTGGTTAAAGTATATGACAGTGGTAAAACGTGAACTTTCTATGTAGTTAAGTGTGAACAAACAAAGCGATAGTTACTATATATACGGACAGCACCATACTTTACACTCACACTGACCCCAATGCATACGAACAGTACCATTGTTTACACTCACACTGACACCGATGCATACGGACAGAAACATACTTTACACTCACACTTAGCCCTATGCATACGAACAGTAACATACTTTACACTCACACTGACCCCTATGCATACGAACAGTAACATACTTTACACTCACATTGACCCCCATGCATACGGATAGTGACATACTTTACAGTCACAGTTACCCCCATGCATACGGACAGTACCATACTTTACACTCACACTGACCTCTATGCTGACAAACAGTAACATACATTACATTACTCACACTCTGACCGCCATACATCTGGGCAAGAGCAGACTTTATACATAAATGCGGATAGAACCACATTTAAACATACGCTGATCGCGTACAGGCAGTACCACACTTTACACATATGATGCTAGCTTTACACTTTGTACATACGAGACCGCTATACACACCGACAGTAGTTCTCACACTTTGCACATACGAGACCACTGTACACACCGACAGTAGTTCTCACGCTCTGCACATACGAGACCGCTATACACACAGACAGTAGTTTACACATCTTACACAATCACTGACCGCTATACACACAGACAGTAATTCTCAAATTTTACACATACCACACTGTAGTACACACAGTCAGTACTCCACACACTCTACACACATTATGACCGCTATTCACGATGACAGTAGTTTTTACACTTAACACTTACCAGACCGCAATACACACACAAGTAGTTCTCACACTTTACACACTCGATGACTGCTATAAACGCTGACAGTAGTTCCCACACTTTACACATACAAGGCCGTAATACACACAGACAGTAGTTGTAACACTTTACACATACCAGAACGCAGTACACACAGATCGTAGTTCTCACACTTTACACATACCAGACCGTAATACACATAGACATTAGTTCTCACACTTTACATATACCAGACCGTAATACACACAGGCATTAGTTCTCACACTTTACACATACCAGACCCCTACGCATGCCGATAGTAGTTCTCATTCTTTAAACATACGTTTCACAATGATAACCGCTTTACACGCTGGCATTAGTTCTGGCACTTTACACACATTAGACCGTTAAACACGCTGACAGTAGTTCTAACACTTTACACAAATGTTTCACAACGATGATCCCTAAACACGTTGACAGTAGTTCTCACACTTTACACATACGTTTCATAATGATGACCATTAGGCACACTAGTTCTCACACTTTTCACATACGTTTCACAACGACCATCACTATACACACAAACAGTAGTTCTCACACTTTACAAATACCAGACCACAATAACCACAGTCAGTAGTTTTCAAAATTTACACATACCTACAAAACTGCATTACCCACAGTCGGTAGTTCTTACACTTTACACAATCGCTGACCACTATTCACGCTGACAGTAGTTCTCAGACTTTACCCTAACGGTGACCTTTATATACGGACACAGATCTACACTTTACATGCACATAGATTTGCACTTTACATACACACATATCTGCACTTTACATTCACACAGATCTGCACTTTTCATACACACAGATCTACACTTTACATACACACAGATTCAAACTTTCCATACACACTGATTCACACTTTCCATACACACTGATTCACACTTTTCATACACACAGATCTACACTTTACATACACACAGATTCACACTTTACATACATACAGATTCACATACACACAGATTCACACTTTACATACACACAGATTCACACTTTACATACACACGATCTACACTTTACATACACGCTGGCCAGTATTCATGCTGACTGTACCCCACTTTAAACAGGTTGATACTTAC